TGATTAAATACAAAATGACTTTCTCAAAAAGTTGATAGAAAAAGCTGCTTTGAGCAATTTTTTGAAATTTTAGTGTTTTGGAGCAATAAGTTGTTACAAAAAAAGAGTTAATATCATATGAGGTCCTCCGAGTATAGTGGTTTTGCCACGTTTAGTCCTAAACTTTCAAATTTAACCATTCACGGTCCAAGTTAACCACCCATGGTCCTTCAAGTTTCGAAATTTAACCAGTTGTGGTCCTCTTGAAAGGACCATGGTTGGTTAAAATTTAATAGTTTAAAGACCATGAGTGGTTAACTTGGACCATGAATGGTTAAATTTAAAAGTCGAAGGACCACAGATGGTCAATTTGAAAGTTTAGGACTAAAAGTGACAAAATCACTATACTCGAAGGACCTCAGATGGTATTAACTCTTACAAAAAACTAATTAATCAAACACTCATATTGACTGTTTAACCAAATCAAACACTAATTTTGGTCAAATAAGCCAAAATTAGTTGATAGGCTAACTATTTTACCAAATAGGGCCTAAGAAGACAGCCATTTTTTCTTCTCAGAATATTATTGTGACTTGCAACTTATTCGTTTTTTTGGCCAGGGAAATCATGGCAAATTATGTGGACATTGTCTTTGCGAACAGCGATGAAGCCAGGGCTTTCTGCCATTTTTCGTCAAAGGAAAGCCCTGTTTGTGCCACGAGGTACCTAAGCCATTTTGTGCCACTAGTCTCGGTCACAGATGGTCGATCAGGGTCTTACATTGGTATAAAAGGCGAAGCTCTTTACATTCCTCCTTCCCCATGTGTGCCCGTGGATAGTTGTGGCGCGGGGGATGCTTATGCCTCTGGTATTTTGTATGGCATATTGCGGGGCATGTCTGACTTGAAGGGCATCGGTTCACTGGCGGCTAAGGTTGCGTCCATAGTCGTAGGGCAGCAAGGAACTCGGCTTAGGGTACACGACGCGGTGTCGTTGGCAAAAGCGTTTGCACTTCAACAGGAGAACTCCTCGGTGTGGTCAGATATAGGATAGCTTGTAGCAACTGAAAGGTCGGGTCCTATATTGAATTTTAGTTGTTTTAGCAAGTTGATTATTGCCAGGAAAAATACTCCCACTTTTTACTCTCAATTTATACTCCCTCTTACAAATTACACGTTTCTTGGGATCCACGTGATGAACATATCCTATCCCTGTAGGGAGTAAAAGTAAGAAAGTAGAATTCGAGGGTAGAACTCTCAGTCTTCAACACCTGTACATTCAGATTCATTGTAATTATGAACAGATCTAAATAAGAAGCCAACTAAAAGTATTGTGTCCTTACTTGGCGCGTGTCGTGGGAATTCTTTTGCTTTATGTTTTGTTTTGTTTGTTTATAGTAGTAAGTACGTACGGTCTGCTAAGTCTTTTATTTGGTAGGTACTAGGCAGGAGTGTAGCTGTGTAGGACGCTAATTATTATTATTGTTAATATTTTTTTACTTTTGATTTCGTCAACTGAGAGAAATTCAAGAAAATTATAATTCACAAAATTACTTAATATAGAGTAGAGTTAATTTCACCAAAGGTCTCTGAGTATAATGATTTTCTACATTGGTCCTCGTCTTTTAATTTAGACAAATTTGATATTTGACTAACAAAATTTTTTCAATGTTGGTCCTTTCGTCAAATGATCGTTACGTGGACCTTAAAATAAGGGGTAAAATCGTCCTTTGAGCTTGACTGCTATGACATTTGGTGCCTCAAAGTCAAGGACTCCGCCGAAAAGTTTGCCGTCGTTCAGTTTGGCGTTTGTCCCTTCTGATGGGACTCGGTCAAACACTTCTTTATTGCTCATCTGTATGTCACTGTGATTTTTTATAGTGCTACCATTCAATTTCTTTTCTTATTCATTGCAGTACATAATGAGTTCATTTGTATTTTTCCCTTTTTTTCGTAACCAAAACAAAAGTAAAAAGGGAAAATTATTGTAATAGAAAAGTAGCAAGTTTTTAAATTAAAATGCTAAGATTTTTTTTTTTTTTGGGGGTGTAATTTTAATGTATTGTTTCACGACATTTTGATAGGAAGCTAACTGGCAATTTAAACAACATGAATTTTCAAAGAAAGAGATAATCTTTTTTTCTTTTTTTGAAAGGAAAGAGATAATCTTTTTTTTTTTTTTTTTTTGAAAGGAAAGAGATAATCTTTTCTTTTTAAATTAAGGATTGAAAAACTTTGCATCATTGCAAAAAAACCTGAAGGATAGAATAGAAAAACATCTTCTATCTAGCAAGATGTTAATATAAAGACAGAATTGGAATGAGTTTTATCAGCATATATGTCTCGTATAAAGAGGCTAACGAATAAGAAGAAGACACTCAACAGATGAAAGGATAGTTTTACCCCTCACTTTGACGTCTAAATTAGACCTGGCAATTCGTGTATACGGGTCCGTTAACGGGTCGACACGATAACGACACGAACACGATAAGGCTAAACACGGACACGACACGTTATGGTTAACGGGTTCATTTTTTTTAACACGAACATGATTTGTTAACACGTTGACACGTTTTGTTAACAGGTTTCAAGTCGTGTCTTTTTACGACACGAAACCCGTTATTTCTATTAATATATTTAAAAAACTAAAATTTAAAGTTAAGTTATATAAACAAAAAAAAAAAAAACTACAGTTCAATCCATCAAACAAACTAAAAAATATTTAATTCATAACATTTATAAAATGATAAAATAACATCCAAAAAACATAATTAAAAGAGTACATACTAGTTTTTAGAATAAAATTGAACACAAAAAATAAAAAATAAAAAATAAAAAAAAATTCAAATTGTTAAGCATCAACAATTGATGGATCTTGGCCTAATATAGTAAATTCATCCTTAGTCATGTTCATAATATCTTTTGTAATCTCATTCATGACAATGGTTCTTACCTAAATGACAATAGTTCTTAGCGGGTTATAAACAGGTTCGTGTTAATGGGTTAACACGATAATATTAACGGGTTAAACAGGTTCTTAATAGGTTTAACGGGTTGACCCGTTGAGACACGAAATATAACGAGTCAACCCGTTAACGACCCGAGACACATTAAGACAAAACACCAACCCGTTATTTTCGTGTCCGGTTTCGTGTCGTGTCCATAATTACCAGGTCTAGTCTAAATAACGACCATTTAGCGAAAGGACCAACATTGAAAAGATTTTGATAGTCAAGTGTCAAATTTGTCCAAATTAAAAGACGGGGACCAATTGTGAAAAATCACTATACTCAGCGAATCTTTGCTGGAATTAACTCTACAGAATAACTTATACTTGAGTGACTCATTATTTCTTTTTTTTACTCATATCTTATTTGCTATAAAATGTAGAAATTATGTCAAACATAAAAGAGGAAATGCTTTAAATAATATACTAAATAGGAAACCCAAAAACAAATCTTTTTTTTTTTCTCAAAAAGCAATTATAATTATAACCTTAAAATACAATTTTCTTTTCATACCTACCCATGGTAGGTGGCATGTCTTTTTAATTTAAAAATAATGCTTTACTTACTTTCACTATTTTATAGTGTTAAAGTTGACATTTGTATATGCAAATACTAATTGTTCTTGATAATTTAAGTAGAATATTAGTAAACAAGATTCTTAATCAAAAAAAAAAAAAAAAGATTCTTGATATTATACAAAATTTTAAATTTTTGTGCTTCATTTTTTTCCTTTGATAAATCAAAACAGAGTTTTACTCGTGAAATTTACACATATAATTTTTCAAATGTAATATTCTTCTTGTGGAATAATAATAAATAAATAACGAATAATCAATGAGGAGTATTGCAGTCTGTGCCAATGAATAAGCCAGAAAAAGAGGCCCCCACAGTTTTCGTAAGCATCTTTGCTCTTTCTTTTGTCACGTTTGTGAAGGGATTAATCACGGAAAAATTATACTTTTATTCATTAGGTATAAAAAAAAAAAAATTATTTTGAGAGGTTATTTTCACATTATTACTAGTGAGACTTCATATTAATTTTTTATGATAAATTTTATCTATATAATCAGTTGTCTATACAAGCTAGTTTGACTCTTTCCTGATTCCGTAATGTGTAGTACGTCGAATATTTTTACTCCATAGTAGTTTTAAGTACGGATCTCTTTCTCTCCCTCTCACAATATTCCATCCAGATTTGTCCGCCATTGCCGTCTGATCCTCCTCTCTTAAATCTCTCCCATTTCTTCTTCGCCTCTCCGTGTTGCATATTTCAGGTATGGCCCCGGCGGCGATAGGCGACCTGGGGACGCTGATATTCACATACGGAACGTTGAAGCGGGGATTCTCCAATCACGGCCTCCTGCGAGACCTCATTGACTCCGGCGACGCTGCTTATCTCGGCGACTACCAAACCGCGGAGAAGCTCCCGCTCGTCTGCGGGCCCTACAGAGTTCCGTTTCTCCTCAACCTCCCCGGCTCCGGCGACCGCGTCTGGGGCGAGCTCTACGCCGTCTCGGCCAGAACCCTAGCCCGGATGGACGAGCTGGAGGGCACCACGCGCGGCCACTACGAGAGGCTCCCAATCACGCTCCTCCGGCGAGGGGATGGGGAGGAGGAGCTGATGGAAGTGGAGGCGTACTATGCTCACCGGAGCTACGCGGCGGAGCTGTGGAAGAGGAGCGGCGAGAAGGGCTACAGCTGCTACGGCGAGATCGAGTCCAGTGGCTACATCAGACGCAAAGATAGACCTCAGCACCTCTCTTTCCTAGATCAGATTAGCCTCTTCATCCGCCATAATCCCAGTGATGCCGCCATTTCTAATCATTAATTAAACATTTCTTCATGTTTTGTTATACTTGTTGATGAAACTCACTCATTATTCTCACCCCTTCATGTTTTGTTATACTTGATTACATCTCAAATTCAATCCGACCTCTGGGTTTTTCAACACTATATGTCTATCTATATATGTCTCTAAGCATTCCACAGATTAAGTATAATCTCAAATGAACCATCATTCAAATACTATGCTGTGTTGATGCAATAAGTTTCATTCAAAAGTCTGCAAAAAATTTGTGTTTCCTGGATTCTATTCTATTACCATTTGTACAAAAACAGAACTAAGTTGATGTAGATCTTACATGGTGGCTTCTTCGGGGTCAGTAGTCTCCATGGGCACTTGAGGCATATTGTCCTTACCTCTCAACCGGGAAGAGACATTGTCAATTGCAGAATTGAGTTGGCCTATCTTATCACTTAAGGTCTGTCTGGTTTTCTGCATGAGTGAAACAAGTAGGATATGGCATGAAACAGAAAAGACCAAGTATAGTATATGCATGCACAAAGTGTATTGTGTGGAGATTATAATCACCTCTAAACCTTCATCATAGTATATTGGTCGTTTGGCCCTTCTGAAACCAGATTCATCTTCATTTAGCAGTGATCTTCTTATCTAGTAACATATGACACAGAAAATAGTTGGCAGAAAACTTCAGTGCTATACAAACTCCAAAATGACTCCACAGCAGCAAGCCAGGCCAGAAGAGGCTTTGGATTACACAAGTGTTTGCCAAGTTGGCAATTCATTTGTAACATTCCAAAGTCCAAACATAACATTATGTTTCCTAAAGATATGAATTTCAACATCCTTTTTCCATTGAAACATGAGTGATCTTATTATACATTGTTGACAGTATGACCACTTTCAGTCCCTGCTTTCTTACCTTTGCAGGTAGATATCTTTCTTTCGTATTGCTTTCGTATGCATAATTGACATCCATAATGCCTTAAACGGAGTAGTCAATACAAAAACTCAGGATTCGGCTAACAATATGTCATATGATAATATAACGGCAGGCAGATTTTGGACCTATCCACCTAACTAACATAAAGCATCAACTGTCAAGCAGATTGTTGAAACACACAAAATATAATTGCAAAATAGGACAATTATATCTGTTAGATGATTGAGTTAGTGAGTTTGATTAGTTGATAGTATTGGCTGATTGTAGAAAGATGTTTGGTAAATTAATGGTTAGCTGATAGCTGATTATATGCAAAATAACTTTCTCAAAAAAGTTAATCAAAAAAACTGTTTTGAGCAGTTTTTTGAATTTTAGCCTTTTGAAGTAATAAGCTGTTATAAAAAGTTACTTAACCAAACATTTATATTGATTGTTTAACCAAGTCAAACAACTAATAATGGTTAAACAAGTCAAAATTGGCTAATAGACTAACTATTTAACCAAACAGGGCCAAAGTTTAGTGGAACTGATGTCATATAATCACCTGTGGGGCAAAAACATATCCAAGCGTTCCAAATATTGCACCTCCCAGAAGGAGTCCAGCAATGAATTCACTGCCACCAGCACGTCTCTGATCCCTGAATGGAAAAGAGGAAACAGACAATTGTCAACTAAAACACCCAATTCACATCTGTCAATTAAGTATTTTATTTAAGCTTGTTAATAGGCTGTTAATAAGTTTTCCTTTAGCAAACAATTGAAACTGAACAAATAAAGATTTTACACTTTAAAACCCATATAGACCTCTTTCACGGGCAACATATATAGCATTCAAAGAAGAGATATCTCAGATAAAACTGATAGAAAGCAATATAAGCCCCTCGATTTCTAATCAACCTTAACCTACGAACTGCAAACTTGTGAAGAATTACACTGCAACTACTACATAATTGCACTGCTACGGCTCCCAGACATGCCTGGAGGACCTTGCCGGATCGTATCCGGGTGCGATGCAATCCTTCACAAGTTCGCAGTTCACAGGTTAAGGTTGGTTCTCACATAGTCACATGATTATGGACCTAAGCCCCTCCATGTTTCAATACTCCTCAATCTATATTGAGATGTTTGAGTGTTTTGTAATGAATTGAAAAGACAAGAATTACATACTTGTACTCTGCCCGAATGGCGAAGTTGCTACTGGTTTTTTGATGATTCAACTTCCTCTGAATTGTTACTGATGTCTTGACAAATGAAGAGGACTTCGCAGACCTAACTTCATGTGTCTTCAAATGAGCTGTACCTGTATCAAGATGAGAAGTTATTACTCAACATGTAAAGCAGATAAAGCATAAAGTTTGAGGATGAAGATATCCGTTAACTAAAATCTATTTCACAATCAGAGAATATTCACACAAATAAAAATCGTATTTGAATCAAACAATATGATGATGAACTTCTTTGTCCAAGGAGGTTACATCTCCAGTCCATATGAAATCTAATCACCTACCACAAGCACAATTCCGAAAAGCTTCAAAAAAGGCGTAGAAATGAAGTACGGCGAAGTGAACAGTGATCGATAGATAGATAGAGCCAAACGCAAGCTGAGGTGGAATTCTCTCCAAAATCGCAGCTCAATTGCAAAAGGAGGAAGAAAGCATACTAATATTGAAATTATAGATACAGCTACATCAGAATCGTTAACACTTGCAGTTACCTGAGACGGAAGAAGGAGCTAAGCCAGTCGCCATGAGAGCTAACAGTTACTACAGTTCAATTGATGGACGGACGGGATGGATTGATTAAGCGCTCAATACTAGTGGTAACCATCTTTTTAGCTTTTAGATGATAAACATTTCTTTCCAAAATATCCACCAAAAATGAAGGCAAGAATGTAATACTATATGATTTTGACATGCCTCTCGTCTCAACACGTCAACAATTCAACGTTATTTATCTTATGAATTATGATTCAAAGCATTACTATTTTTTGTTCTCCCGCTTAACGTGAAAATCGGAATATTAAAAGTACAAAGGTATATGCTTAATCCAGGAACGAGGGTGATAACCAAACAAAAGATAGATAGGCAGCAAATCTGGAATAGCTAACTCCTATCAAACGATGAAATTATTGAAATCATTCTAAGGTATCATGTATCATAACGGCTAATATCCTTTCCTGTATACAAGAGACTTCACTACTTCTTACACTAAAATTATGTGCAAGAACAGAACCTCCTACTGACTAAAAATTATAATGTCGATCATGTAAACTTGTGAACATGTTCTAACTTGTAAGATACATGGCCTGTTATTGGTCCGGCTTCTCCCCGAGGCCTCCAAAATGGAATAGAGGTGACAGCTCGGTCTTTGAAACAGAACTACGCTGCACTACTTTATCTGGGAAAGGAAATGAAAGCGAGAGGGAAAGAGAAGCAGAAGCATCCTCCTCACTGGCTTTAGTTGCTGCACTGTCGGAAGTAGTATAGTCCTCCATTATTTTTTTCTCTTCTTTCCCAACTAAGAAGGGCGGGATCTCTGGTTTTGTTTCGGCCCCTAAAGCAAGGTTGAGGTTCGGGACCTTGTTATGGAATTGATTATCCTGCAAAGGATCGTGCACTTTCCATTGTATGGAGCTACCAATAGGTTGTGGATCAACCGGGAAGAGAAACTTCTCAGCATTCCCCAAGCCTTCCAAGGTACTAGTTTGGTCATTGCCTCCATAAGATCCACTAGAAGTGGGCTTCCATTTTTTGTTGCAATGTACTTCCTCAACAAAATTGTTAGTATGACCGGAACTTGGGATTGCTTGATCTGTTTCAGAGGATTCGGAATGTGATCGTTTATTGTGGTTTACACCAGAGCTACCGAGCACATTCTTGGTAGGGTCCTCGTTCATATTGTCTCTCACCAAAGGGGCGCTTTCATCGTTAGATCTATAGTCCAAAGATATACCACTAGGAGTTGCATCATTGTTATTACTAGATTCCTTTGATGAAATTCCTACAGAAGTTATGTCGTGCAGTGTATTATGTGTATCAGCTTGAGAAGCTGAAGGAACTGACATCTGGTCACGAGTATTAGGATTACTATCTCCTTCAGCATTTTGAACAGAAGTGCATTCCATCTCTGATTTGCAGTCAGAAGCAATGCATTCAACCTACAAGAACACATTAACACAAAGAAATTACTCATCAGCATCCAATAGTTCTACCAAGAAAACGCCATTTCTGACAGCAAGATAGTGTACTGATTCCTAAAACATTTAGAGAGTACCAAAGTTAACTGGGATTGGTTCTCTGTCAGTTACTCAGTTTACTAACAATGGCTTTCTCCTAGCAGACGTGCATAAGTCAAATTTTTAGGTTAGCATTCAGAACCCCAGAGCATACTGTGATCCCTAACCCACCCACCAAAAAATACTTATATTAATTGAATTACACTAACCACCTTCTAAAACATGTATGTGCATACACAAATCTAACTCAACGGGGAGATACTTGGGTGCTGCAGAATTAATTTACCACTTTATGTGAAGATTCAGATTTCGATACTATTGAAGCAGGGATTTCAGTATCTGAAGCAGGAGTACTGCATACAGAAGTCTCCATAAGCCCAGCGGAACACATATTTTCAGGTGAAGGTGCAACTGCCCTGAGAATGTCTTGAGTCAGTGGCTTCTCAACACCAGGAACACGTTGTGAACAACTTGCCTTCTTCGCTCTGAATATACCCCATAAGAAAAACATCATATTCCACCCTGCATATACCAGATAAGCAAATAAGAACCGAGGAAATAATCTAAGATTAAGTGCTCAAAACCATAAGGAAGATAAGTCAAATGCTTAAGGGTTAAGGTTAATATATACAACAAATTTAAAATGCTAATAACATAGGAAAACCATCCAAGGGATGGAAACATGCACAATTCATTTAAGAATACCAGTTGATAATTTTCTACCCATACTAGACAGAAAGTGAAAAGTACACACAAGAATGAAATGCATGCAGCCTCAGCTAGCAACAAAATCTATCCATCTGTTCATAGTTAAAATTGAGAAAGGATCAAAGTATGTAACATACTAAAATGAATAATCCTGCCTATTATATGCAGCAAAGCAAGCAATCAGTAGGAGCATGTTCTTCATAGTGAATCAATCCACAAAAGAATAATATATTTCCTTAACTGGTCAGAGAGATCATGAAACAAGAATGACAACAAAGACAAACAATTTGACTTATGCAATAGCAAAAAGCATGTTTATTATCCCTACGTTGGAAATTTTCAGGAAGCTGGTTAGATGGGAATATCAACAGCTCAATGCTTCCAAAGTTCCCTTGAAGAGCTAGGTCATGCTTCATCAAATTCCTGAGCAGTGCTTTGTAGCTCTTCTCATAGCTGCACCATAGCAATAAACAATTCAAGATGGAAAAAACAAATACTATTTAAAATGTAGTTTCATGGGAAGATCAGGAGAACTACCTCTCTAGGTCCTTTGCAAAAAAGAAGAGGGCTATATTATCTTCTCTAACGCCAAACTCCCGGAACTGCATTGGCCATGTACTCAAACGAGATACTTCATTTAGCAAGACCTTGCAAGGAAACTTTTTAGCTGCATCGAAAACTCTAGGAGATGCACAAGTTGACAAATGAGCCTGAATCCCATCACATAGATCAAGCGTCTTCCCACTCTTGAGAACCTCAAAATCTCCTCTGCACAAGAAAATCATATATAAGGTACGCATCTTTCAGTATGCAGCAGCTCCCCCTTGAAATTCAATAGCAGCAAGTGAAAAGGTTAAAGTTCATACCGCCATATGTACTGATGCTCTGGAATGACTGCTTTCAGAAGTATCGACATTGCAACTGGAAAATGTTGTTGGACATGAAGTATGGAAGAATTTTCATTAGAAACAACAATGGTGCCTGCATCTCCTGTTCTTCTTGGACCTTCAGCAGGAAGCACCCCCAACTGCTTTGCATTATTAGAATAGTAGACAGTAGAGGCCCGTGATATTGCAAGCCTCTCATGCACCTTCATAGCACAGTTAAGATTTCTCTTGCTGTGTGCACTGGTTAACTGATCCTGAGAACTAGTTCCACTGTTCACGTTCACTGCAGAAAAGTTTTCAGATTGGTCAGGAACTCTACTCTTCCGGCAAATTCCAGGCTTCCTAAGCCTTGCAGCCTCAATTGCAGCTTTCAAATCATCAGTGCTATTTGTGGCCTCTCTTGAATTTTTTACAACAGGTGCATCTATCACAGGTTTATCAACTTTGCAAAATTGGGCCGAATGGTCACTTCCTTTACATTTCTGGCAAGAAATCTTTTCATTGGCAGCTATGTTCTGATTTGAGTGACTCCCAGAACTCTCCCATGTTTTCTCCTCAGAGTATTCCTTGGGCTGCAATGATCCATCTACTAGAACTTGATTAGCAACACACGGCGGTCTCTCAGTAACACAAGAACCTGAGGAGGAGTCTTCCTTTGGATTAGCCTGATTAGGCTTTTCTTCACAATTGCTAACTCCCTTGGCAGGTGTATCTCCATCAAAATGCAACACCCGTTTCTTAACTTCATCTGATATGGATGGGAAAACCATCAATGCATGAAAGAAATCATTAAATAAGCAAGAAACATATAGAAGGCACCATATTATGATTAAAATAAGACATAAATATATTGATAGTTAAGCACCCATATATGGAACAGCACCTGAAGATTTTGAGATAGTCATTGGTTTGCCATCAGGATTGATAGCCTTATAGTCTCTATTGTTGTTCATGATGTCACAGTGGGATGTTGATTTTTTATCAAATTTGGATGAAATGGTAGAACCAGCCATACTTTCCGATCTTAGAGAATTCTTCCTTTCAAATAAACTTTGTTCTTTTGTATGTTTTTTCGCTTTCATATCCTGATCATGAGAAAACCTAGGTGATGACATCTTGCCTACTGATTCAGCACAACTGAAACGGTTTGAGCTGGTGGGTTTAAAAGACATCGATTTCCCCATTGCTCTGATGGGCCCCTCTTTTGAAGTAGTAGAAATAGTTTCTCTAATCAATTTCCGCTTTGAAGGAAAAACTTCATCCACGAGTTTGACTTTTGGATTGCTAATCAAGGAGCTGAATGAATTGGACTTTGAAAAAGTACCTGCAGAGAGGTTTCTACTTAATTGCTCTCCAAAAGCCACCAAAGAATGGAAAATTTTTAAGCTTCAAGTAAATTGGAATTGACATAGACACTCAATTAGCAGTTTAGCACATAATACACATAAACATGCATAATTACAGAACAACATTACTACCTTGAGAAGTTTTTAGCCGGGGGTCTGAAGCTGAAGCCTCATTAGTCAGTATTGCACCAGTAGACAATGGATGTACTTTCACTTTCCCCTTCTCTGAGTTCTTAAATGAGCTTTCATGAGAAAGTGAAGAAACCTTGTTGGGGCTTTGTGCCTTTGGTGACCCTGAAAGAGATTCGAGAGCTTGTCTTTTTGGTGCAGAAGAAATTTCAGCATTGTCCATGCGTCTCTTGCCAGAGGCTTTCAGATAAGAATATTCTTTAGTACCTGCTTCTCCATTAAAATCAGGACACTTTGGTTCTGCCTTACCAGGGTGATCAGAATCAATGATGGTTGTTTGTTGTCCAGAAGGATAAGTTTTATTAATTCCATTAACCTTTCCAGTTTTATTTTGCTTTTGAGTTTCCATGTCCTGCTCATACTTGCATTCTTCACAAAGCCAGTCACCCTCTGGGACTTTCTCAAGCATTTCTCGCATGCAATAACTATAACAGGAACAAAAAAAATTGTCATAAATGGCACTACATGAATAGCAGAGAATTGATGGACAATAAACCAACTTCAATGCTTACGTATGTTCAGCTCCATCAGTACACTTACAACATATAGCAAGTAAATCCTCCCGACCAGCATCCCCACAAATATCACAAACTTTTACCTATTTTCAAGAGAAAGAATTTAATGCTTAGAGAACACAAGAATATAATTATAGTAGAAAATGTGAGACATGTCAAAATGGAATAATCACTCAGGATGTCAATGGCAAAGAATAAGTAAAATTGCTTTGAGTACTTTAATCAGTCAGTTATCGGCGCTCTAGAAGAGGTTTAGCCATTAAGGTAGTTTGATGACATCCAGGCCAATTGATGTCAAATTGAACTCCTCATCAATAAATCAGGCTCAAAGAGAAAAATTTAAAAGGTGATGAAACAATAGCTAAAATATCCCACATACATCATGCTCTTCATCATCAGAGTCATCACTCCCTTCCATAGCAAGGGTTTGAAGATCATTTCTGGTTTCACCACCTGTAACAATGCCTGACATACTATCATCAGGGTCTTCTGTAGCTTTGGGGTCTTCCATCTTTGGAACCATAAAAACATCTGATGTACCTGATACATCAGGGCTCCTTGTGCTCGGCTTATGATCCGAATTTTCAGATGGAGAAACATAACTTGAATTCATGCTGATTAAATTAGCTGTTTCAGTATTCTCCCTGATTGGATTCTTCCTACTTTTGCTAGCAAAAGAGACATCATTCACAGAGAAACTTGAAGCATTTGCAACATGTGTTTCCTCTAATGATTCATCAACTTTTGACTCCATAGTAGACTTGTAAATATGCTAGCACGATCTGCAAGGCCGGCAAAACACAAGTTAGGCACCCACTGCAGAGACTAATCTTCTATCAACAAATATTATATTAGATGATCAAAAGTCTAAACAATTTACATATAAACTAGTTCCCCATTTTACTCAAGCCCAAGCTAATAACTATCCAATAAGTCAATAACAGCATTAAGAAAAGACTAAAATAGCTATAAGTGCAAGTTACAGTAACATATTCAATGGGAATGACAGATGGCTTTGATTGGCTAGGGTTAGAACCCCAACAACACACCGGGTAATGTCATAATTCATAAATTATAAGCTAACAGAACTAGCATGAACCAATAAACTTCCTCTTTCTTTTTCAAACTACACCTCTACAGAGCCCAACTTTTATGTACATAGAAAATAAGAAAAAAGAACCCAAATTTATGCAGCAGTCAGACCAAGCAACTAACCAATCACAAAATCAATATTCTTTACAAAAAACAGATGGAGAGTGAAATGAGAGAAGCAATAGCAATTAACTAACTAGTTAGGGTGTAATTTTACAATGTGAGCCATAACGCCTTAGATCCCTTCATCAACTGTTCCATGCATTTCAAAACTTCCTCTAGTGAATAGTATGATATAGAGTTATCAAAACCATATTGATCACAAGTCATTTCATTGTACACCAAAAGCCCTAATCTCCAAAGAAAATAAGGATGATCCTCTATCAAATGTGAAAGGAAATCGGTCAAGACCAATATACCTTTAAGTTTCCATATAATTGCTTCTCACAGTGATTCACAATATACTATCAAGAAATCAAGAATGGTTTGAAACAAAAACAATAGGGCATTTACAGGAGCACAAATTAATCCCCAAAAAAAACCCTAATTGGAATTGGAGCAAATAAATATGGAAATATAAACAGGCACTCCTTGGGTTAGGATAGAGTGTAAGTCACATTTTACAGCTCAAGGAGAGTTTGCCCCTTCCGCTCAGACATCCCGACAAGGCGAAAGACGCAATCAATTAACCCCAATACGCTCCCTTATGAAGGATAAACACAAAACATCACCTCAATATTCGCCTATACACATATCTGGTTTAATCGATTCTCTCTTTCTCAATTCAAGCGTGCTATGAAATTCTGAATTTGATGATTATAAGCGTGTAGAAATAGTAAAACTAACCAAAAATATATAAATCTGGAATTACTACAGAGCACTAATTGAACGGGATAGCGAAAACAAACAATAAGTAAATAATCGTTCTGCTGCAAATCTACGGCGGTGAATTTGTATGTTAGAAGGAAAGGGAACTGTTCATATATACCACCTCTTCATGTTCATAGACACTCTCCGAGACAGAAGGTACACAGCTACTGGATTCTCGTATGATGAATGTCTGTGTATCCTTTTCTCAATTCTTAATTTCTTACCTGATACTCAGTAGTCATTACATATAACGGAGCTTTTTTCTTTTTAAATTTCTTAGGGTTTTTTTATTTTTTATTTTTTGAAATGAAAGCTAACCATTTTCTAACCTAATTAAAAAATGAAATGCGAAAATGACACAGTATTATTAAAACCAACAAACCATTAAAATGAATATATTTTTAGTACAATAAAACATCAACAATAATATTCTGGCTCAAATTAAAAAATCAATATACAATTTTTATATGTGTAATTATAAATTTTTAACTTTGCAAATTAATTGTCTAACTAATTCAGTTAGAGTTGCCTATAACAGGACATTTCTTATTTATTTACGAGCACCAATTTGGATTAAATTACTCTTAGAGCATCTACATCAGAGGAGAAATAGGGGAGAATTCACTACTTTTGAGGCCAAAATGCCATGGTGGCAGAGAGAGAATCAAGAGAGAGAAGGGGTGGGGAGCATCTGCTCTGCCCAAGAAAAATAATTAATGATGAAGGATAAAGAACCAATGGAGAAATGACATGCTTATTTTTTATATATTTTTTTTATAAAATCAGTTTTGATTTTTTTTTCCCTCCCCTCCCACATTATTCTCTTTCCTACTCACTCTTACATTCTCCCCCTAATAACCCCAACTGATAAGGATGCTCTTATTAGCTAAGAGGGGATAGCGACTAACGATGTTTTCTAGTGATAATATTAATGTAGTAAATACGAGTTTATACTACGAATCGCATGCTTGTTGGTTTAATGTGTTAAGCTCGGTTATAGATGTGATCTAAGGCCATAGATTCCCGGGCTGAATAAAGTAATAGAGTGTTTGCAAGTCCCTTCTACCAGTATCATGCGGGGTATTTATAGAATTACAGGGATTCGATGGGACACTGTTGAGAAGCCGCATGATGAGTGCTACGTGTCCTCCATGCACATGACAATCAGGTCAGCTGAAGTGAAACGTGCACGTGTAATGGTGTGTTTGAATAACTAACCGCTTTATTGGAATTATGTTTATGTGCTAAGTATATGTACTTAGGGTCTCAGGTGAACTATGAGGTCGGGACCGAACACATCAAAATTAGGGTAGCTGTCCATCAAGCCAACGAGTCAATTTAACCTTTTGATCGGGTCGGTCAGGGGCTACTTACCGATTATTTAGGTCGGGAAATTGCCCGAATCTCAAGACTATCCGAACCGAACATGCCATTAGAGCAAGAAGGCCGAAAACTGAGTTATATTCCCTATCAAATACTTTTTTTTTATAGTAAGTCTTGCCTTTATGCATATTTTGGATATTTGTCATGTTAATTTGATAGGCTAGGGTATACATACTTCACACTCGCATCTCCTCCAAGTGTCGTGCAACGAGTAGTCACAAGATACATTTTCTTTATAATTCAATGTGTTAATTTCTTAAAAATTTGTAAGGAAATCCATGATTATAAATTTGTAAGGAATTTATCAACAATTTATAGTAATTGACAACACTAACATTGTCCGGGCTGTTCTTATTGATTCAAAGGGACCAAGATGGTTTTCAAAAAAAAAGAAAAAAAGAAAAAAAAGGACCAACCTCTGCCAGCCTATATCAAGTTAAGATATGAGATAAATTTTTTTCTCATTCTATCTCATTTTGTGTTTAAATCCATTAACGAGACTTTTTTTTTTTTTTTGTTAATTTAATTTCTCATAATGTTAAATTTAATATTAGTATATAAAATTTATATATTTAAAAATATTACATTAAAAATATTACTCCGTATTAAAAATCAAATTTAAAAGTAAAAAGAAAGAGTTGTTTGACCAGTTAATATCAAAACAGGATGGGTTAAATAAACAGATGAAGTAAAATAGAACAGACTATCAGAAGCATGAGAAGAAGTAAATAGCTATGACCAAAGAACTTGACTACAAATTTACAACCGGGCAAAGAGAAACACATATGGAAGTAGTGTGTATAAATTTGTGAATAATTTACATGGAATCCCTGCTGAAAGTTTTCATATGCTGAGATTGAATTGGCTCCCTCCTGCCAATCGTTGCAGCTCAGTTCATTTTGAGTTTGAAACCATCTGGTATACATGATGACCAACATAGTGGTACAAGTGTTGAAGCTGCCTGTATCATAAGGGCATATGGCAACCCCGAGAAGTCGTTTCCCGTCACCATGAGAAACGATGATAAGGCAACGCCAAGGTACCCGCTAACTATGAAGGCAAGAGCTATGGCGGACATAAGAACCGCCATTATAGATCCTTCACAACCTGGCGGGCAAAGCTGAGCCATTAAAACACTAAAAGGCAGAATCTTGAAGAAGTATAGCACCTCCAGAAAGCCCGAGAAAATCACAACGTATAAGGAGTCTGGAATACCCATCGTCCTGTACACCCCTTTCACGAACAACATATCCGATACCATGAATACAGCCATAGAGGCCTGAATTGCGGGTATTAATTTCCTTGGTGAAATAGACTTGAGGTGACTGTTATAGACTACTCCCCATAACAGCATCGCTACCTGTCCAAACACTTTCGAAATACCCAATACCGATGATTCAATCCTCAAATATTGTGTTTGGTAGTAGAACATGGTCCCCGTTAGGGCTGGAATAACGGCGTAAGAAGCTGCAAACCAAAGTATTGAGTAAGAGATCTCTGGTTTCTGCAATACAACAAGGAGTTCAGAGAGTTGGTTTCTGATCCTTGGATTAGGTGGAGCTTTTGGGAGGCCCAGAGAGCTCTCTTTGATGAAAACCGTTATTAGATACTGGAGAGAGACGATAATGCCAAACACGAGGAACATAGCTTGTGGGGAAAATCTGTTCATGGCAATACCAACTAGTATGTTTCCAAGAACTCCACCAAGGGAAGAGGCCATCCAAACAAAAGACTGAACCTCGCCTGAAGGGTGAGATTGCGCGTTTTTGGATGAAGAACTGGATTGCTTTCCTATCTCCGCAACAATGGCATCATTGGCAACCTCAGAAATTGAAGCACCCAAGTTTCCGATGAGTAGACATATAGTGATAGCAAAAAACGAGATACTCGAAGGGGAAAACAGTGCAAGAACCAGCCATGAAACTGCTTGCAAAAATGCTGAAAGAAAACAATCACTGGTGAGTGAAAATGGGCATAAAATCTATTGCTGAAAACTTCAACAAACCTGCACCAGAAGTGCCTCCCAATCCCATTACCACAGGCATTTACTCAGTGACAGGAAGCTTGAGGAAACGGCAGATACTATAAAAAGCTTCCCCATCAACTCCTATCTACAATGTACATCCAAGACAACAGTCAACTACTCTATACAGTAGACATACAATTCGCAAAATGATTGTGGTAATCAAGCTTTGAGTTACTAATTCACGGAGAATTGAAAGCAAGTTTCTAACATTAAATTGCAATTCCATTCCTACCAAACTCCATGGAATTACAATTCCGTGATTTGGTAGGAGGGAATTGCAATTCACAGAATTATAATTCCTTCCAACTATGGAATTGCAATTCCTAGTATCCCCTAGGAATGGCAATTCCACATAATTTCATGTTAAATTACCATTTTATCCTTCTTTTGATTATTTTTTTTAATTATTATACAAGATATTTTAGTCCTTATTCACTTCTTCCTTACAATTTTCAGATATTATATTCCTTCCTAACAGACAATATAATTTAAATTCCCCGTTTATAACTTTTCCCACAAATTACAATTCATTTCACCCTAATTCTCTCTTTCCATTCAAACGCTATGTAAGAGTTCCATAGTATAAAAACGAGTTAGAAAGCAGATACAAGCCAAGACTTGTTCAAAATTCAAAGTACCTCCAAGGGCAATGTAAGGGAGCCGGTGCTGGCCAGAGATGTAGAAAGAATCGGAAATGATGCCGTAGAAGGGCTTGGCTACCATGGGGAAATTAGCAGAGTTCTGGAGGATTTGAAGCGTGGAAGAGTCGACCCCGAGACTGTCCTTGAGGAAGAAGTTGACCCCCATCCATGGGAAACACCTAAACCCCTGCACCCAGAACCCTATCCCAAGTAACACCTTCCTCGTCCTCTCGCTACCCCTCCCACTTCCCTCGCTGTCGCTCCCACTGGCAATTCGAGAGTACGCCATAGCAAGTATGATGCAATTACCAATTACGGACTGCAGTACTACCAGCTCCGATCTCCGAATAAAATCGCGGCAGAGAAAACGGCTGTTTCCGGACGCCGACGAAGATCAAGACATTTGCTATACTCGGGAGCTTCTGGATCCCACTGACGTGGCGCTTTATAACTTTGGGAGCTGTTTTCGGCTTCTCACGTCTTTACAAGTGTCACCCTTCTTTTTCCCGGCAAAATTATTCGGTATTTAACATTTTAGTATTACTTTTTCCCCCGAGTATTTGTTTTTGAAAACCAACGAAACGATAATATATTAGAAAAAGTTCGAAATACAATCAGGAGGGGCAGTAGCCCACGAACTTAGGACAGACATAGAATTTGTTGAGTACATGAGCCATATAATTCGCTGATCTATTAGTATGGTGAATAATAATATTTCTCGTATCCTTAGTAATATTACGACATTGCTGAACAATCGTACCAACATAAGAAAGGTCTAAAATAACGGAATTAAAAACGTAACAAAAATTTAAATAGTCTGATTCCAAAACAAACCTGGTGCTACCACGATGTCAGGATAAGGCCTCTTTGATCGTCATTGCCTCAGCAAGATATGGATGATTACCACAATTGAGCCGACCACTCGCAGCGGCTACAAAGTGGCCATGATGATCGCGAACTATTTTTTATTTATATGCCTTAATGCCTTATTGGCTTTGGTAGTTTTTTTTTTTTTTTTATCTACCCTCTTGACTATTTTATATGTCTTATTTACTATTCATTTGTCAAACTAACTATTACTTCCTTGCTTATTTTTATTAGCATTTTCTTATAATTTTTAAATTTATTTTTTATTTTTTAATATTACTTTAATGTAGTTTCTAAATATATAAATTTTACATACTAATTCTAAATTTAATATTATGCAATATTAAATTATAAATAACTTCAGTCAAGTTTCGTGAATCAAATTCGAGACATAAAACGGGACGGAGAGAGTATCAATTATCTCAACTTACGAATTAAAAGCCTCTAGAACTCCTTTCGATCAAGGTCTTCTAATAAACGTTAGGAATCTGATACACTCTTAAGTTACACTTTAGCGCTAAAGCAAGACTTTAAAGTGTTTAGTCATATCAACTTAACTAATCCCACCATGAGAAACTCGTCGGTGCATGTCATGTTTTGATTTAGAGAAAATCTATAATTGTCATATGAAAGCATGCTACAAGTAAGAACTTACTTTGTGAATATAATAAATAAAGGTTAGGACTCCAAAGTTAGTTGTAATATAAGTAAGATGTTGTGAATTGTAATGTTAATGGTTAAATGTCAACTTATCAAGGTGATACAAAAGTGTTGTATGTACTTTTGTAGTCTACAAGATGAATAGATAATTGATTTTGTTATGTTCTACGAGTGGCGGGCTTATACTTCATATCTAAATTCTTGAATATTTATCAATAATTAAAGTTCTAATGGGAATGTAATTTTATACAGATTAAATGCAAAAAGTGAATAATATATTGTGCTTCATCAGTTTTATGTGATTAGCAAGTCAAATGATCTCAAATTTCATTTGCTTGAGACACTTAGAGAGTTCAACGGTCAAGATTGTGAGTCATGTGTGAAACACGTTTACAATGAATTAATAAGTGTATCAAGCCCTTACAAGATGGTTAGTGATTTTCCATACCCCTTCAGGCGTTTGGTTGGAGAAGAATTTAAATTTCATTCATACTTAATTCTCACCTAATTCTAAAGATCACTAAATTTTTTAGTTTGGTTAGAAGAATTGCAATTTCACAAAATTACAATTCCTTCATTTTCATGGAATTAAAATCATATGCCCCCTTGGGATTTTAATTCCATGGATTTTAGGAAGAAAAAAAAAAGATAATGATGAGACAAAATTACCTCTCATCTTTTTTAACTTAAAATTGATGCATGACAACAACAATGGACATTTTGGACTTTATACTACTTATTCCCTTTCAATTTCCATGTGTACTAAACATTGAAATTTAAATTTCCAGTAATTTTATTCCTGTAAACCAAACACTGGAATTCTCACTGTATTCCCTGTAATTCATCTCCCATTGAATTACAATTCGTTTCCCATGTAATTCCCTCCCTACAACCAAACGCCCCGTTAATGATATTATATATTTACATCCTCCCAAATGCTCTGTCGGGTCGGGGTGTGGGGGGCCTTAGGGTTGGGATTCAGTCTTTTGGAAGAATGATATTATATATTTGCTTATGGATAGCATGCTTGGTGTGACATGTTCAACATTATTATAGTTTGCATTTTTTTTCCACGTGTATTAAAAATGTTCTTATTCTTTGCAGTTTATTCTTTAATGTTTATTTTACGTGACCAAAATACGCATACAATGGACAAGGCCCAAGGGATAGGCTACAAATAAATAAGCTATCAATAGGAATCAAACCCAAACAAGAGGGTTGAGAGTACAAGACCAAGACCACTATAATGTAATACGTGCTTGTAGTGTTTAGACATGCCTCTAACAGGAAGCCAGACACCCCATTTTATAGTGAACCAGCTTCACCCAACACCGTCCACGTGTACGTTCCACGATCACAATCCATCTCAAAAGCACCATGTGCCCCATGTCTCAAAGCACATCGTACCACCCACACCACCCCACCCCCCTCACGCCACACCAACCGGAATGGGGGCGCAAGGAGCGCGCGGAGAGGCGCACCGTCGCGCCGAGGTTGGCCGGGGGCATCGCCCTGTCCGGCAGATCGTGAGGCCGCTTGCAACGCCGGCCAACCACCTACCCTGCTTTGTCGCTGCATCCCGCGCAGAGGCGCACAACCACCCTAGGCGCGCTGGACACGCCATCGCCTCCCCCCTTTCTTGTTCCGACCCACATTGTCCTTTGTCTTTCCAGCCCACTTCAACCACCATTCCCCTGCCCAATAACGTAAATCCAATAAACCTGAGCCCATACCCAATATCCCCATCAATATGCTATGAGTTCAACTACTACCCTAACTCATCGGCATAACTAAAACGGTAAACGGACAAAAAATTGTTTTATCAATTCCATTGGAATTTTCCTTGAAAGTACACATTTTGCATTTTTTTTTTTAACCAGAAGAGGGGTAAACCCGGCTTAGCGCTTCCTAGTTAGATCCCGAAATCGGTGGTCCACGGTAGGCCCTTGCTCCAATCATGTCCTCCCAAAGCACGTCTTCGACCACCAGAGGTGCATTGTCGAGCACCCGCACCCCCGATCATGAAGCAAAGCTGTGGCGGCGAGACGGTCCACAACTCTGCTTTGCTTTCTGACCACATGTAAAGGCCACCTCTTGAAACAGCCGGCATTCGCGTGCGCACAGTTGCAGGATGTTACACCGCGTGCCAATGTCGTGCAGGTCTCCGGCGAGGCATTTGATCATGTTCAACGAGTCACTCTTGACGACAAGTCTCCTAACTCCCCATCTCGCTGCTAGACGAATTCCCTGGAGTGCCGCCCATTTCTCCGCATGTTATGCAAAACGAGAACCAATATTGTAGGTAAAACCCTTTATCCAAACGCCCACATGATCCCATAGCACGCCTCCACAGCCAGCCCGCACTCCTGGTTCTTTACAGCATTCGTCAACATTAAGCTTCAACCATCCGTGCTCCGGTGACGCCCACGTGACGAGTTCTAGTCTAGGCGGTTGGCCATTTCTTCCAGGCGTCCATCTTTTCTTAAACGCCGCTTTGATCTGCACCCTTTGTGCTTCGATCCAAGCCCGCCGTTGCTAAAGGCTCAATCTCCTTCCGGCGAAGACTCTGTCGTTGCGCCACCGCCAGTTCCACCACATGCTTATTCCTAAAGTCACCGGCCAGTCTTCCCCCAAATCATTACGCTTATGTGCCCCCAGATTCGTGGACAACCACTCATCCCACCCCAATTCCATCAACTGCATCGCTGTATTGTGGGGAAGTAGCAACTCCCAGAAACCCGCCACCTCTGGGCATCGTCTAAACATGTGATCCAGAGTCTCCGGTATACCTGCACAAGAAGCACACATTTTATCAGTCGTGAAATGTCTGTTGAAACGCTCCACATTCGTCATTATCTTCCCATGTTTAACCAGCCACAAAAAGTGGATCATTTTATGCGGAAGCCTTATCCTCCATATTTATCCCAATATATATCCGTATCTCCAGGTGGTTCCGCCCTTATCGTCTCATACATTGACCGCATGGTAAACCTCCCACTCGTTTCCAAACCTCATCCCCACCCGTTGTTCGCGTCGTCATCCTCAAGGAGGACAATCGCGTTAAGCTTCGTCCTCCACCCCTCGTCCAAAATGCCTGTGAGCAAAATGCACTTCCACCCCCTCCCGTTCTCCCAATAATCTGCCACGTTCGCGTATAACTCTAGTAAGCTCACTGGCCGACGCATCCAGTCGTAAAAGGCGTTGGTTATGTGTCCAAATGTCCATCCAAAACCTTGTTGTTCTACCATTGCGGACAATCCGAGTCAGTCCTCGTTCCAGAGCAGGTGTCACGCCCTGAATTCCCTGCCAAGCATTCGACGCTGTACTGTACACCTCCGTCTGTCTCCGGCCCCCAACAGTGTCGTATTTGGTGGACAGAACTCGCGTCCACATGCTATCGTGCTCAACTCGCATCCGCCAGCACAGTTTAGCCACAAACGCCATATTAACATCCTGAAGGCTTCTTATTCCCAAGCCACCGTCGCCCTTTCGCTTTTTCACAGTTTCCCAATTTACCAGACTTGTCCGTCTCGTCTCACTATCACCACCCCATATAAAGCGTCTCGTTATAGTCTCCAATTTGGTGCACACTCCCTTAGGCAAAATGGCGGTTTGCATTGTGTACGTTGGTATGGCATTGAGTACGGATTTGGCTAGCGTAACTCGTCCCGCAAACGTCAGCACTTTGCTTCTCCAGCCATCTAGTATAGTCGCCACTCGGTCGAGCAGGCCCGCGAGAGTGGCGCACGTGGTTCTTCCATGCAAAGACGGGACCCCCAAGTATCTACCTAGGTCGGCGGTGGGTGGGATGCCAAGCTCGGTGGCGATTGTGTCCTGTAACACTGGCCCTGTGTTTCTGGAAAAGAACACCTGTGATTTGCCGAGGCTAATCTTCTGCCCCGAGGCTTCACAATAACGGTCCAAGCACTGCTTAATGACGGCAACCTGCTCAAGCGAAGCCTCCGAAAAGATGACCATATCATCCGCGAAGCACATGTGGGACAGCGTCGGCCCGCCAGTGGACAGACGAATACCCTTCCACGTGCCTCTTTCCACCTCCAGCGAAATACTTTGGCTGAGCCGTTCCGGGCAAAGAACAAATAAAGCTGGTGACATGGCGTCACTTTGACGAATTCCCCTTCCTGGTTTGAAACGTTCCATACGTGTCCCATTCCAAATAATCTGCATGTTCGCTGTACTCACGCATTGCATAATAATCCACACCCATCCATCGCTGAAGCCTGCATCCAAAATAGAGTTATTAATAAAGTCCCAAGAAAGGCGATCATAGGCCTTTTCTAAGTCAATTTTAATAGCCATTAACCCCTTGTTCCCTTGTCTAGTGCGCATAGTATGCATGACTTCCTGGTAAATAATAATGTTTTCCGAAATCTGCCTCCCAAGGACGAACGAGCTTTGGTACGGGCCAATAAGCTTGGGCAGAATCGTCTTGAATCTGTTCGTGATTGTCTTTGTAATGATTTTGTAAGACACATTACATAGGCTTATAGGCCTAAATTGCTTAATATTTTCTGGCATCGCAACCTTCAGGATAAGAACTAGCAGGGTGTCGTTAATTCCTTCCGGGAGGCACCCCGTATCGAAAGCAGTCTTCACCAATTCATAAACGCCGTCTCCCACTACCTCCCATGAGCGTTGATAAAAAGCCGCATGGAAGCCATCCGGTCTTGGTGCTTTCAATGGGCTCATATCAATAACAACCTTACGAATTTCCTCTTTGGTCACATCTCTATTAAACCACCGCCAATCTAAACATCCAAGCATTGGAAACAAATCCGTCGCGGCTTTTGTGACATTCACTCCCTCTTCATCCTTAAACAAATTCACATAGAAATCAGTCACGTGCCGCTGCAGCTCAATGAGCTCCGTAATCCAATTCCCGGCAGCGTCCTGCAGGCTTGCAATTTTATTACGAGAATTTTGGACCAGTGTCGACGCGTGGTAGAATTTTGTGTTTCTGTCGCCAGACACGATCCACTCCTCCTTAGAACGCTGAAACTATTGCAATTCTTCCTCGTACAACACGTTTTCCAACTTTCTCCAATTTTGAAAGTCCACCATGATAGGCGTTAGCCAGTCTTTGTTGAACTCCTCCTATGCGTGCAAGCAGATTAATTTTTCTAACCTCAATGCTGCCAAAAACGTCCCTGTTCCATTTAGTGAGCGCATCTTTAACCTTTGTAATATTCGCCTGTAGGGCGTGGTCCACGGTCCAAGAGCTTCGGATTACGTCGTCGTTTGCACCAGGACAGGTGCGTGATCAGAATATAGTCTGGGTAGATGGCGAACCGTCGCTTCGGGGAAACGCTACCTCCATCCCACATCACACAACGCTCTATCCAATCGCGCTCCTTTTGTAGCTGTCCCCTCAACTCCTCGCATCCAGGTAAACCGAGGTCCACTGAAACCTAAATCTACCAACCCTTCCATGTGAATCCAGTCCACAAAGTCCATGCTTCGTTGTTGGGAGTACGCCATATAGTTGAAGGTTTCATCTTTGCAAACTACCGCATTGAAATCCCCCATTGCCATCCATGGGCCTGTGATTTCCCTTTTTTGGGCCTGTAGCTCGTTCCAAAGTCGCTTTCGCAAGTGATGTGCCGGGCTAGCATACACAACCGCAAGGTTCCACGGTGTAGCCCCGTCTTCATTGACTTGTATTAGGATAAATTGAGGGGGAGTATACAAAACAGAAATTTCGATTGGTTTATTCCACAAAACCCATATTCCTCCGCTAAAGCCCACGACTTCCACTCGAACCCAATCCTCGTAACCCATCTTAGAACAGATGGCGCTAACTTGGTATCCGGAGAGTTTCGGCTCCACCAATCCTAACACGTCCGGCCTGTAAGTTTTAATTAGATTCTTAAAAATGCATGGAATCCCCTTCCCCCGGCACCCTGGCAATTCCAAGTCATATAAATCATAATAACAGAGCAAGAACCCAAAACACACAAAAAGCTAGAGAGAATAAGCGAAATAACACTGCAAACCTCAAGTTACCACCGCAGACGCGCCCTCCATAACCGCGTCCCCGTCGTCATCCATGCCCGTAGGGTCATCATTGTGGTGTTCACCCATATTTTCGAGCTTGCGCATTGGCCCTGCACTCGCTAGCAAGTTCACTGTAACCCTATCCGATTCAATGTGCGCACCCCCTCGTGATCCCCTGACCACCACATGCTCGTCTTCTTCCGTCGCCCTCCGCGGAACTCCTTTCTGTACCGCCCGCCTTTCAGTCCCACTCGTCGGCGTTGTCACTCTGGATTCTCTTTGGTTGGTTATTTGCTTCTCGTTCACCACAACATTGTCCCGTCGCTGATTCCGTCCATTTGGTGCGTTCTGACCCTCCACCAATGTGTTCGTTTCAGTCGGATGCTCCTGTGCAGCCCCGTCATCCTGTTATGCGGCTTCGTTACATGCTCCTGGAGCTGCATTTGGGTCAGCGTCTTCAGCGATCACTACCTCCAGGGGCAGAAATCGAGATTGCGTCTGCCTCGATTGGTCCCCGGCAGTGCGTCTGCTTCCATTCTGTCCAGCACGTGCTCCTGGTCGTTTCGTCTCCCAGGTTACCAGCATCCACGATCCAAATGGTGCCTTGTCCTCTGCCATCCTCGGTTTAGCAGTCATCGTGCCACTTGCCCCTGTTGTCAGCTTGCTGCCATCTGCCTCATCCGCCTTCCCCTTCTGCCACTGAGCGTCGCTGCTGAAAACCATCGTGTTCTCCTTCAGGCAAGTTTCGTGATTGTGGCATACATGCCACTGAGCGTCGCTGCTGAAAACCATCGTGTTCTCCTTCAGGCAAGTTTCGTGATTGTGGTCATACATCCCGCAATTAAAGCATACTAGATGGATCCCTTCATATGCAATAAATCGCATCCGCTTCCGCAGCCTGAACAGATCGATTTCCACGCACATCCGTGCAAACTTCCCCTGCAACGCCAGTCCCGTTGCGTGATCCACTCGTATGGGCCGTTCGACTTTCTTCCCGATCCTTTGCAAAAATTTTGGATTATAGTATTCTATAGGTAAACACGAGAATCGAATCCATACCAAAACCTTCTCCATCTTGTCCGTCATTGGGTCAAAATCCGGCGTCCACTCCTTCACGATTAGGTAGTGATTGAGGATTATCCAGGGGCCCTCGTACTTTGCATAGTCCAGATCATCCACCGAACTGAACTTAACCAAGTAGTATTCATTATCCAAAGCCACCAGATCCATTGTACCCTTCGGCCTCCACAGTGCACTCAGCCGGCGATGGAGATACGAATATCCTACCTGCTTACCCCAGACCTTGACGATCAGTGCCTGCCGCCAAGGCCTTCGGAGCTCCTCCTTCTCCTTGTTGGTCAGCCTGATGACTGGGCACAATGGATCGTCATCCGCTTCATCCTCCTCCCCATCGGATAAGGCCTCGTCATCAGGAGGGGTCTCTTCTACCGCGGCAGATCGCGTATCACACGATCCAGCTATCGTGTCTCTGTACAACACGGGTCGCGACAAGCTACATGGTGGAGTCTCTGTTGGTGCGTACGCTTTGAACACCTCCATGGGCGCCTCGGAGACAGCCTCCACCAGCTCCATCCTCGTCTCTGATGGCGCCCCGCATCCTGTTTCGATTTCTTGGTGCTCCGCACCAAGAGATCAAGATCCTCTTCCGAGAGCATTTTTCTTTACATTTTGCATTTATATTAGTTTCAACCATTACACAAAATTTTCGTATCAACAAATCGATAAAGAAAATAAAAAACTTGGACGGTTAATCACAATTGTCAAATAAAATCGAAAAAGACGCCATGCAACAGCAGAACGACAACTGTATTCTATATTCTGCTTACCAAGATTTAAAAAAAAAAAAAGGGAGTGGGATAAAAAAGCAGTTAAAATCGTACCATGCTCCAAATCTTAAAAGGAAATTATCGAATTTGGATATAATTAAGATCGTATTTACGGGATTTGACTTTAACAGTGGTGCACCATGCGGATCTTCATACTAAGTGTATTTCATTCCAGCAAGGTAACAAAGGAACCAAGGGAAGAAGACGACAAGGGAGCACGAAATACAGACAGATATATATAGAGAGAAAAACCCGCGTTCGGCGTTCTGGACCCTGATCCTGACCCGACTAAAACCTCATCTCTGCGTTGGTCTTCAATTCCGAATTATTCTTCTTCGTTCCCTCTGTATGTATGTATGTATGTATGTATGCATATCTTGTAAGATAACGGCGTCTGCTTCGATTTCAATTTCCCCGTACGTAGGCGAGCATGTATCTACGTTTAAAGATTGTTTTGTAGATTTTGTAAATAAAAATTTGTCTCTAGGGTTTTTCCATGTATTTAATATCTTAATCGCATATATTGGTGGAGCTAATTGTTTCCCTTCTCCGAATCATCACTTATTCTTTCATTGAAAATGGAAATTTGAAGAAGGAAGTGGGAAGAGATGGAAAATGGAGGAGGAAATTTAGAGAGTAAATTTTCGGGTTTGGCTTTACGAGATTCCACCAACGGTGATGGGCTGGCCCAGGTCATGAAAGCTGTTGAAGCAGCTGAAGCCACCATTAAACAACAGGTATTTTTTTATTTTTTTTTTTTAAATTTATTTAAACCCATCCTTTCTTATAGTTGTTTATAAATGAATTCATGTATGGTTAATTACTAGTGAAGTTGAGCTGAGAGGAATTAATGGTAGAACTAGAAATGTGAACTATCAGTCTGAAACTATTAATAGCAGACAAGCATGGTAAATTGTGAATTTCATGAACTGGATATCTGATGGTAAAACTAGAAATTCTCCTGATGTCATGATTTGGCCTCTCAACTTTCTGAAAATCCTGGTATTTAAGTCCGGATACACAGGTATCTGAATCATCAACAAACAAAAAAGCTTGCAAGTTATTTTTTTATCAACTGGATTTCCAGTCATGCCAAACGTGCTAGTATGCTTAGGGTACTAAACTTTGCTTCTAACGATGATTGAATACCAAAGTTCATACTGACTTTCTAATCAAGGCACTAGCACCTGGAAATTCTGTTCATCAAAATTTTCTCAGGTTGAGTTTGAGGGGAGAGGATGGAACTTATCTACATTTGTAGATTCTTATTATCTAATATAGTTGTGGGCTACTGGGCTTGCAGTGTTGGCGAGTCTAAGTTATGAGCATCTCATTTATTAGACTAGCAGAAGAAGATTTGCAGTGTAGTATACTGATACGTAGTATTTTTTATAGGTATAAATCATTAATAGTTTGGAAAATATAATCCTTGTTTTGCTTCTAGAGCTCATAGTTTTTCCTACATGTATGCTGTTGATTTTTATCTTCTATTGCTGTTTAGGTGGAGGAGAATGATTGGTTGAGATCTGAACTGCAAGAAAAGATTCAGGAACTTGAAAAATTTGTAAGCACATGGTGACACATTCTGAAAATTACATATGATTCCTCTCATGGCTGTCAGTTGCTAATTGAATATGCAATTTCTATTATCTAGTAGAAGTTTTAAAGATGTGTATTCTAGTTAACTTCTAATTGGGATCTATTTGTCTTGGTGTTCTGTTATTAAATTTTTCTTATGGTCCAACCTTGTGACTGCATTTTTTGAAGATTGAAATTGTGCTGTTGTATGTACTAAGGTTGTTGATTATTGAGTACTTGCTTTTGCTTTGTTGACATTTTTCAACTTATTTTTGTATGCATGGTATATCACGTTCAACAGACTGTATGGTTAATTTACCTCCTTGACAGAAATCAGGTGAACCGACAATTGGGAATTTTCATTCTGTGGAACAGTGGGATGGTCATCCTGGAGCTTTTGAATCAAGTTTGCATTCTGGAGATCAGACTGATGGTCCTAGAAACACGAATAGCAGTATAGGCCCTGGTTTACCTAATAATGTTGTTCAAAATTATACAAACTCCACTATGCAACATGCAGAGAGCAGCTCCGATTATGGCAAAGTCAATAGTACAGAAAGAGTGACTTTTACTGGGGTTCAAACAACTTCTGATGTTTCTGGCTTATCTCATTTCTCATCACATTCAAAATCACCGTTTTCTCCTAGCAGGTATCTGATAATCATTGAAGGCATTAGGTTCTCTATGGGAGCGAGGGCATCTTATCTGAATTTCTTGTATTGACTTATTTGTTTACTTGACTTTTATATTGAAAATTTTATTTTAATACTAGCAGAAACTGACAATTGAACTGGCTTAGGTAGGTATCAAATAGCAGGAGAGCAAGACAGGCAGCTTAACTTATCTGGACAGGGCTTTATGCCAATGGCTGAAGTGAATGATTCTAACAGCACAAAGCAGGTATCTCTTGTTTATGGTCCAAATGTTTATAATCCTCTTACCTGGCTCATTTTTCAATATATCTTTATAGGATATTGTTTTGAAGATCCAGGCTCATGAACAAGAGATTTCCCAATTGAGGAAACATCTTGAAGAATATTCAATCAAAGTAAGGACTCTATGCTTCTAATGTTCACCATGATTATTTTAACTATTGCTTTGACATAAATTATTTATTTATTTTGGGCAGGAAGAACAAATAAGCAATGAGAAATATGTTCTGGAAAAGCGCATTGCTTATATGCGCATGGTATGATGAATGTCTCTAGTTCTTTTGTTAAGTACTACTCCATATATCTCAAATCTTTTTATCGGGTACGCCCTATGTCTGTTTATATTTGTTTTAATCTAAACTGACAACGATTATTTGCTACAAATTCTTGGTATAGGCCTTTGATCAGCAGCAACAGGATTTGGTAGATGCTGCATCTAAAGCAATATCTTATAGACAAGACATAATTGAAGAGAATATACACCTTACATATTTATTGCAGGTATTTTCATGTCCTGTAAACTTTAATTCTCTATGCACACCCCCCACCCCTTACCAAAGATTTGAGGTCGAATAATTTTGTCCTTTATTATTATTATTATTTTTTTTAAAGGCACTAAGCATATTTTTGTAATTTTGATAAAATGAATATTGTAATTAGAAAGTTTTTCTCAAATTTTAACCACTTGATTTTCTGTAATTTGTCTAACATATTTTAGGGTTTGTGTTATGATTTTGTCAGGCTGCACAACAAGAGAGATCAACATTTATATCATCTTTATTACCACTCCTTGCAGAATATTACCTTCAGCCACCTGTACCTGATGCTCAGTCAATTGTCAGTAATGTAAAGGTCAGCACAATACTTTTCTCTATGCATGGAAAATGAATCTTGGTCAGTGTAATTTGATGGTCTTTTTCTTTGTACATTTTGTTACTTTCTTGCTGCTGTAGATCATATAAGGCACTGACACTATTTCTAGTTTGGGGTATACCCACAGGTATGTGGATGATTCTATTGCTATGTGCATGGACAGCATCCAATTTCAAGAAATCTTTGTTTATTTGGTCTAAAGTTACAATATCTCATGGAGTTTTTAAGCTCCATGCATAATTTACTCCATATAGCTTGTATTCACCATCTTGGTGCCTCTTTTGCAAGTAAAGTTTTGTTTGAAAAGTTGAGCTGTTTATGAGTTGTACTAAAGTCTGATGTGAGAAATAGTCTCTATGTAAAGTTCTGTTGCTGCATAATATTTAATTTAATCACGAAAAAGAAAATGCTAAAACTGAACCTTCTTTTAAGGTTTAAGAAACTGCAGAGTTTTAAATTTGAAAGATGTAATATCTTGATTGTAAAACTCTTTCTTAGCAGAGGAGGGAGCTAAGGAAGAAAGAATTCTGCTATCTTGACTTCCCATTCCTTTGCTAAATATGGCATCATATTTTTGTTGTGAAGGCATGATGTATGTTAGAGAAATAAGGGGTAGTTAGAGATAGTTTAGAGTTTCTCTCCTATCCTAGTGTTTCTTCTTTTCAAATTCTGTGGTTAGCACTTAGTTAGCTTGTGTATATATATAGGGCTTTCCTGTACAGCAAGATATGAAATACACACTGCGTCAGTCTACCTTTCTACATTTAACAATGTACGTGCTATGTTGATGAGTAGCATGATAGGGGGAGGAGGTTCGTGGTCCACATGAACCACCTATCTTTTGAACTATGATTGAGAATTTGAAATAGGATGGTATCAAATTTCAGTCAGTGATAGGATGGATTTTGTTTACATGTACTAGCTTGAAGATCTTTTTGGTCAATGTTTGTGGCATTCGATTTTCCACTAATAACCTTTTCCCCCCTTATATAAACAAAATGTTGCTGCAGATTCTTTTTAGACATCTGCAGGAGAAGCTTTTAGTTACTGAGGTATGTCATCAACTCCAACTAGGGATATTTCTTATTTCTAATGCACTGGTTCTTGTTGACGGTATCTAATTTTTAGTTGTTGGATTCATAGGCAAAGCTGAAGGAGTCTCAGTACCAAATGACCCCTTGGCCCTCTGATGTTAACTCGAATTTTGCTCAGTCACCTTCTGATTTTAGTGCGGTATATTTGACATACACTTATGTCAAAATTCTTTAGATTCATGTTTAGATGTAGATATACTAAACAGATTTGTCTATCCCTGGCCAGATAAGAGATGGACTTGAACTGGTACCACAACAAGGATACACTAATGAAAAGGCACCTATTCTTTCAGACCCACAGACAAGTAGAGATTGGGATTCATTGGGACATCCCCAGGTTGATAGTACTGGTGATTTAACAAAAAATGTGATGGGTGATGAGTTGGGGAGATATTCACCTCTTGCAAGCAGGTGAGCCTGTTCAAATGGAGACTGCTACTGTGAACTGAATTACAATTCAAACCATCTGCTTTTGGTGGTGGGTTCTGTTTTCAATTGAATTTTCTCTGTTGCCATGAGTGACAATAATACTTTGCCATTCTGGCTTTCATGGATGAAGGACTTAAATATCTTTTACTGGAAATGATGGTGAATCATTGTTTACGTGCAGTGATAACTTCTTTTTATATTTTCTTCTTGTAATATGATAACATAAGAGATATTGATATATATAATGGAGAATGCATTTATGTTAGATTGTTCCTTGCTAGAAATAACATCATTGGTACCCTGGATAGGCCGCATTACAGTCTCATGATTCATAACCATGGAATTTGATCAGCTTTAGCTTAAAGTCTATTGCCTTTGTCTATTTTTTCCCCATAGTTCACATAAAATAGATTGGTGTCAGGAGAAGATAAGATTGTGTCATGATTTCAGTCCAGACAAACTGGAGTTTCTGCTTGACATTGAGCTGATTTTCAACTTGATCTTGTTTCCAGAGGAAGTTAGTTTTATAGATTTTGCAGTTCCTTACTTCCTATCACCATAATAAGATTGTGAAATGTGGTTGGAAAGGTCAAACTCGGTACTGAATATTATTAGTATGGTTGTTGTCAAACCTATTTAAAGAAAATGTTGTGCAGTCATGTAAATATTTAGTGGATTGAAGTAGGACGTTAAATGTTTTCTTGCTGTGGCTGTCTTTCTTCTTCTTCTTCTTCTTCTTCTCTCTCTCTCTCTCTCTCTCTCTCTCTCTTCTTTTCTGTTGTAGTTGTCTCTTCATTTGTTTGGCATTCTGGTTTGTTTAGAACCCTTAATTTATCTTATCTTGTTCTGCACCTCTAAGCGTATACTAAACTAAATAGAGGATATACCTGATTCCTTTTTCTCGTCTTTACTTCCTCGATGGCCTGCATGATAATATGATATGCAGGTTTTCAATATATGATTGATTTTCTCTTTCATGGTTCCGCTCCTCAAGTTTGATTAATTTATGCTGAATATATGTTGTTTTGTAGGAATACCATATCACAAGATTTATCTGCTCAGCATGCAGTAAGCCAGGATGATTCTCTTTCCAAATCAAGAAGCGAAGAAATACCAAATAAACAAGTAAAATTTAGGGATCATATCAGCAATAATGAGATGGATGATTATGATATGGAGAGACTCCAAAATGGTAGAGAGCCTTCAGTCAGTTGGCACTCTAAAAGCTCTCCTTATACAAATCCCCTTGAGGATCTGAACCCTCACTCCCCATATTTACCCCCTGTTATGGAGGAACCTGCATCCTCTTTCTCAGAAGGTAAAAATTCTTTGTGTTTTATTGTTACTGTGTGTATTTAGGATCTTGCTGCTTGATGTGCACTAATCTCGAGGCAATGCTAAGTTGCAGATGATGAACCTTTACCTGCAGTTGAGGGTCTTCAAATTTCAGGTGAAGCATTTCCCGGACAGGAACTTAAGGCTTCTGGGTACTCTATTAATGGCACAACCAGTTGCAATTTTGAGGTGTGGCTTACCTCAGGGCTTGAATTCTGCTCTGTTGTTTCTTTTTGATTGTTGATGTCTGTTTTATTTTTGTTACCTTAGAATGCTTCATGCTGTTACAGATATCTGTCAGAATTCATTCTCATGTTTCTTGTCTCATTTTTGAGCTTACAGTGGGTACGACATATGGAAGATGGATCTTTTAACTATATTCTTGGTATTACTCTTACAAATCTCTATCTCTTCATCTAATCACATATGCGTGTACACACACACACACACATAAATAAATATATTTGAACACCTGGAGTCATATGACATTGGTGGCAGGTGCAAAGCAACCCACGTATCTTGTTACTGCTGATGATGTTGATACATATCTTGCCATTGAAGTTCAGCCACTGGATAATAGGAAGCGCAAGGTAATTTTCAGTCTTCTTCTTTTTTCTGTTCTTCGCTGTTGTTGTAAAAGATAAACGTGGTGTGTATTTAAATTTGTGAGATTATTGTTTGCATCTTTTAGTGAAGTATCCTTCCACTTTTCTTTTTCCAGAAGAAAAGAAGCAAGAGCAGTACTTTCAAAAGTGAAGCCTTCTTGAAAGTTACTAACATGGCTTCATTACTCTTCTTTTCCAGGGTGAATTGGTGAAGGTCTTTGCTAATGACCATATGAAGATTAGTTGTGGTAATTGCAGCTGGATCTTTATTCAATATATGTAACTGTAGTTTGAATTTTGTTATCATGTAGAATAGATTATAAACAATCTTCAAAGCTAAGTGGGAATTGGGTGTTTATTCACATCATTCATTAATCACTCTTTACTATGAGTAGGTAGATCACCATTCATTTGTTCAATAGACAATGGCATTTCTCTCTAGAACTGTCATCAACATGTATATAGGAACCTAGTTCTTTGACCTAATTTGTCCCTTCTTTCACATTAGTTTTCTTTATACTTTGTGACTATTTTTCAGACCTATGGTTTACAGTGGGGGTTTTTTTTTGGGTGCAGTTCCAGAAATGCACAAGTGCATACAGAGAACACTTTCTAGTGGTCATGCTTCATATAAACTGTTCCTATGGGTAGGAATCTGTTACTATGATTCTGCACAGGTTTCACTTGTTAAAGATTTCCTGCTCATTGACACTGACACTCTTTTATCCTTAATTTTCTCATTCTACAGACAGGATATCTTGATATATGGGAGCCAGCTACCTTGTCCATAAAGAGGGATGGTTTTAGCATCAAGTGTAGTGGTCCTAATGCTGTTGCTGCAACTGAGAAATTTTCACTATCTATAAATGTATGTTCTGTTGCAATCTAATTATTCTTTCAGCATGAACATGGAAAACACAAGACTAACAGAAATGAAGCACATATACCACACCGGCCTTACATTATATAGTTTCGTGCTTTCTTTTAATGCCGGTGTTTCACCATTGACTTGCCACTAGGTGATTTTGTCCATTGTTCTATTTAAAGAATCATTTTGATAATATTCTTGTAAAGGGATTATTGTGTCTTGAAGAATGACACTGCCCGTTTCTTTTTAAATAGTGCAGACCAGGCCTTAATAATATTTTTCCTCGTCCTTAATTATAATATCTTTAATTTAATATTGGTCTTCTATCCATTCCTTTTCTTTTCCTTTTTTAAAAAAGAATTATTTTAAATTAAATTTCTCTGGCAGGTTTCTATTCCATACGGAAGTCCTACAGAATTTGTAATAACTGATAGTTTGGGAGATGACCGTCGTCTCAAGGCAGGGAATGATCCGTCCGATATTAGCTGGTAAAGTCATATTTGTTTGCTTTGTTTGTTGTGTATGGAAAATTTCCTTTTCTATGTAGAAATGGCTAATGGGATTCTTCATTTCTGAAATGATAATCCCAGTGGATAATGCCTTAACCCTTATACACAAGAATAAGCATGGCCCTTTAGGTGATTATGCTGTTGAGTGAAGGAAAAATTGCTTCCATCTTCTTGTCCTGTTAGGGGATAATTTCTTCCTTTAAAGGGCTGTGCCTTGCTTTGGTTAATGTGACTTTGAATTTTGAAACTGCTTGTTGGCAAAACTTATACTCCCTTTTTATCAACTGCATTATCCCTTCGTCTTGGTCAATTGGCAAATGCTGTCCAAGTTTTTGTTTTCAGTTTTCTTTATGCTTTTCATTACTATCAGAGCATTGTGGCACTTTAAAAGTTCTAATGTAGGGAGAAAATAAACTTTTATTTTAACTTTTCACGAACTTAGTCATTACAATCTTTCTTAACCTTGGAGCCTACTCAAAGTAGGACAACTATATGGATAGTATATTGATTTCTATTGGGTTTTTTTAACCTTTAATTTGGTTAACTTAATTTTTTTTAGTTTGATTGTTTCATTTTGCCATTTAAAGGAAAAGTAATTTACTTTTTGTGTTCCCATTTTCTGTAATCCTACGAGTTACCTGAAAATGTTGCATAATGTCTGGAAAGCATATCATAAAAGAAAAGTTGTTAGCAGTATAATGGCCAAGACTAACACAGGTTTTGATGAGTAAATATGTTAATGCATAAAACTTAAAATCAATAAAGATTATTTGGGCACAAAGATTTTGGTGATATTTGTAATACTTTTCTAATTTATCATGGTGAGATAGGTTGATGGAATGTTTTAAATGACAAACTTATAGATGTAGAAAAACATTGTTGGTATACCTGAACCATGGTGTATTGTTTAAGAATTTTATAATCCAAACATAATATTTCCTGACCCAGCAATTTTGTTGATATAAATTTGCAATTTCACCCCTTTGTTTTCCTCATTATCCTTTCTTCCTCATTAAGCCATTCCATGCATGCTATAAACTTGTCAACTTGGTCTAGGTTATTTCACTCAATTTTCTTGTCTCTGAACTGTTCAGTTGCTTTTTTCCCCATCTTCTCAAATATAGTTTGTTAGTTTTATTATTTAATGTTTTCTACCGCTGAACTTATGCAGTTCCAGGGATACAATTGTTCTCACTATGAGATTGTTCATTGTCAAGGTATAATTTTCAAATTTGTACTGTTTATTAATATGATGTTCAAAGTGAAGTGCATCTTTTTATTTTATTTTTTAGTTTGCCAACTGCTGTACCTTCTATTTGGTTTCCAAAATTGTTTAAGCTGTAAATCAGCTTAAGTGGGGAGTATGACAATAGTCAATAGAAAAGATGATCTTGACTGTTTTATCATGTGGAAGTTTAAATATTTGGTCAATTTTAGTCCTAAACCCCAACTATATTGTGCCAAAACCCTCCTTTATCTACAACTTTATAACTTTCTTTTGATCTTAATGTGGTGGTGTCACTTAATTTTTGCAGGCTGGTGAGAAGAAGAAAAGTAGGAAACGGGGCTTGTTCTTTAAGTGAGGATGATTCTTTCCAATCACAGAAAAGTGTGTAGTGCGTATTGAATGCGGGCTTGTAGTTACCAGCAGCATTCTTAGAGGAATCAATCTTCATATGTTAGTGTCTTATTGACAAGGTGATGCCATTTTGCTCTACGCATCCGCCCGCCCACTCCCAAAAAAAAAAAGAAAGAAAGAAAGAAAGAAAAAAAAAAACTCAGAGGGGAGTAAAATGTATAGTGTTACCAGTGTATATTGGTACAGAATTGTGTTCAAGATTCTTGAAAATGCATTAAGTTTGGTTAAACTTGGAGGTTTTTTTTTTTTTTTTTTTTTTTTTTTTTTTTTGGTCGAGGAAAAGCAGTGAAGCTTAAGAAAGCAGTCTCCTGGCGTTTAGTCGATTAGCTGATACGAAAAATTTATGCTCCAACATTGGCTGTTTTGTATGTTCTAACTTTATTTGCGTTTGTACCAGAAAAGATAATATAGGTGAACCGTGAATATAAAGAAAAACAAAAACTATATAATGCATAATACTTAAAACGTAAATCTATTTGGTATTGTAAAAGTTATTCTTTCAAATTACTAGTATTAATGTTGAATAAATTGAATTGCTTATAATTAATGGCCAAATAGTATTAATTTATTTGTTTTGAATTTCAATTAAAAAAATGTAAAAAAAGAAAAATTTAGATGTCCTATACAAAATATTTATAATATTGAAGTTCAACCATGTGGTACGTAACCTAAACAGAGTGGCAGACAAGCTTGCGTCTACTGCTCTTAATCATGGGCTAGGAACAAGGATCATCTCAACACAACCGCATTTTTTAGATGACCTGCTGTGGGAGGATAGGGTGGGTGCCTGTGTGAGTAGCAGGGTGCCCTTTTAGTTTTGCTTCCGGGCTTGTGCCCTCTCTTCGTAACCAAAAAATAAAAATAAATTAATACTATTGGGAGAGTCTTGATCTAAAGAATGATGTTGAAGGAAAGTTTTGGCCCGAGTGGATGTGAATGAAGGAGGTTGGCCCAAATCTTATTGGAATAAGAAGATATGGTGACAAAAAAAAAAAAAAAAAAAGAACACCAAAAGATACGAGAGAAGGAGTTTGTCGGGGCAAAACCGCTTGTGGGCGGTCGGCGAGGTGGCCCACCGGAATCCCCGCGGCGAGGCGTGAGCGACGGTGGCGGCAAATTATGCTGTGCATCCGTGTGCACCAGATGCAAAAACGACGTCGTTTTGACTAAAAACGCGCGTCCAACTTTAAAAAAAAAAAACAGTTTCGATTTCCGTCAACAACATTATGTTGTGCATGATTTCTAAATGTATAGTTATGAAATTATGGATGTATAGTTATGCAATTTTGGATTTATAGTTATGAAATTATGGATGTGTAGTTATGCAATTCTGAATGTATAGTTATGAAGTTATGCAATTTTGGATTTATAGTTATGAAGTTATGGATGTGTAGTTATGCAATTCTGGATGTATAGTTATGCAATTCTGGATGTATAGTTATGAAATTATGATGTGTAGTTATGCAATTCTAATTTTTTTTTTTAAGTCGACGTCGTTTTTGCATGGTGCACACATATGCACAGCATAACGACTCGCGGTGTGGGTCACATCGGACTGGTGGCGCCCACTAGCGGGCCAAGTGAAGGTAGCATAGCAAGCTTGGAGTAAAATAGTAAAGGGTGCTGCCAACAGGGATCAAACCCGCAACCCAACCCATTAAACCACTCCATCTCTTGTGTACTAAGTCGTTACTGCTTATATTTATTCCGGCTTCAACGGGCTGACAAATTCACAAACATGCCACGACTGATCGGCGGCCTGGCCCGCCGGCCACCTCTGGCCATGGCACCCCCAATGGGTCTAGTGCGCTAACTAAGGATATAGCTTGGATTGAAATTTATTCTATTGTTAGATTAGATTTAGATTATATTTTATATATATACACACACGAAACAAAATAAAATTTTGGACACCTATAACCTATTTATACATCACATGATCTAGCTAGTTTTATCAATAAGGCTTATAAATAAACTTATAGGGTTATTATAACTATATGAAAAACATGTATGGCTTATTATAACTATATGAAAAATATGTATGGAGCACAGCTTAAATGGTTATTCAATTAAAAAAAATTGAAAAATTTTGTTTTGCTAGTAACCATAATTTCATAGGGTGCATGACTCTAATGGAGGTATATATTCAGGAGCATGGTAAATTTTTATAGGGGTAAATGTAGAATATTTGAAGAAATTGATGGCAGAGCCTCTAAATTTTATACTGAAACGTGGCGAACAGTAATTGGCTTAGAAAAAAGCCCAGTGAGAGTGCATTTACAGTAGCATAGCCCAAACCCTTCCAGGGTTTTCGACATAACCGAATAGAGTGAAGCACAGCAAATCAAAAGCTGCAAAATCAAATCAAGCTCCTCTTCAGTCTTCATTCCTTATTCAAATAGCAAACACCCGCAAGCTCCATCGATCCGCTCCTTCTGCAACCACATCGGCCGAGCATCCGTCTGTAGACTCTTCGCTCGACCAAATCAAAGGAAATGCAAGCACCAGTTCTCGTTCTCAGTATGTTTTTTGTTTTTTTTTGTTTTTTTTTTTTTTCGCATTGATCTTTCGTATTTTTGTTTCGATGCTGTTTTTGTCCGAACTTTCGACTTACTTAGTTTAAACTCGTTGTTTGTTGTGCAGAGGATTCGTTAAAGCGCGAGCAAGGGCGCAAGGTTCACTATGCCAATATTCAAGCAGCTAAGGTGACACAAGTTTTACTCGTCTTTTCCATTTCAAGGAACATTATTAACTTAGCAGATTGTTATTTCAATCATTTGAGAAAGAGCTGAGACTAAAACTTTATTACCTATGTTGGTGCTAGTGTATCTGCAGCATTAAGTGTTTGCAAGTTGCCTTCTTAATCATTTGTAGCATAGGAAATGGAAATGTTAGAGAGTTATATGCATTTGGAATCTATGACCTAGTCCTAATAACTTAAACATGTCTTGCTTATATCTTATTCTCTTTTTGGTAGGCTGTTGCTGATATTATACGGACTACTTTGGGTCCACGATCCATGTTGAAAATGCTGCTTGATGCTGCCGGAGGTACTCTTTCTTTCATCCTAAATGGCTAAATGTAATAATATGCTTACTAGACATGAGTGCAAATATCTTCAATTTGTTTATTTTTGGCTTTCTATGCTCCTTTTGCTAATTCTTTATCCTCTGTATGTCTTTACTAGGAATTGTAGTAACTAACGATGGGAATGCAATTCTTCGTGAGTTGGATCTTGCTCACCCTGCAGCGAAGGTATAATCTCTTTCCATGTCCTCATTTTTCCTGAGTGATCATGCCCTTTTCCAAATTTTTGCTACTTGGTTCTTTATTCATAAAAGGGTCTTCTGTCATTCTTGAACTTTCCATTTTTTATGCAGTCCATGATTGAACTAAGTCGCACCCAAGATGAAGAAGTAGGAGATGGAACAACATCAGTCATAGTTCTTGGTATGGTCTAAGTATGATTCTATTTTGTCATTCATTTTATACTTTGTTTTGCAACTCTGGCTTCAATGGTAGTTGTTGGTATTGTCCAAGTATGATTCTACTTTGTCATTCATTTTATACTTTGTTTTTCAACTTTGGCCTCAATGGCAGTTCTTAGTATGGTCCAAGTATTATTCTACTCTGTCATTCATTTTATGCTTTGTTTTTCAACTTTGGCTTCAATGGTAGTTCTTGGTATGGTCTAGTTATGATTCAATTATAGTATTCATTTTATACATTGATTTTTTTGCTTTGGATTTGTATACCACTTATATATACTTCTACATGAACAAGTTATGCTCATTTATTCAGTTCTAATGAAAACATTGTAAAGAAACTAATGATTTTTAACTTTGTGATAACTAATAATTCGCTGAAGGTGGTGAGATGCTTCATGTGGCGGAAGCGTTCATTGACAAGAACTACCATCCTACTGTAATATGCCAAGGTAGTTTCATGCTTATAATCTATTTCCTGTTATATCTGGATTTTGATTGTGTTTCCATTTGCAGCATATAATAGAGCTCTAGAGGATGCTGTTACGGTGTTAGAGAAAATTGCAATGACCATTGATGTCAAGGATCGTAAGTTCCTATTTACCTCTTTTTTTTTTTTGGTTGATATTTTATGTTCTCAAAGTCATTGTTTACTGGGTACAAAAAGGAAATGTTTTTATCAATGGCACAAGTTTATACTTGGTGATAATATTGAACTTTTTCGTCTTTTCCACAAGCATTTAATGTTATGTATTTGGAAGTCTAACCGTAAAGTGCTTTTTTCTTAGGTGCTACAATGTTGGGGCTGGTGAAGAGTTGTATTGGCACCAAATTCACTAGCCAATATGGGGATTTGATTGCAGTAAGTGTTCCCTTGTACTGTATTATTATATTAGCCTCCTCCTTCCCACTTAAAAAAATTAAAAAGAGAAGATACATTAAAGTGGTTGGCATAGTTGTGAAATTGAAAATTCTTTAGATCCAATGGTACTTTTATAGCTCATTACTAGCCTCCTCTCTCTACCTTGAAAAAAGAAAACGAGAAGATGGTTAAAAGGTGTTGATATAGTTGTGGAACTGGAAATTCTTTACCATTATAAAGGAGTACTTTACATCCAACTTCAGCTTCATAGCGCTGATGTTATACTACCTAGAATTTTAATTTATTATTCCACTTAATAAATATGTCATTTTCCTATTGAGCAGTAGAAGTACATTCTTGGAATTAGTCAGTGTTTACAAGAAATCTATATCCTTTTTTGTTATTCTGGCAAGTATGTTTTGGGTTGTGGTTGGATGTCATCTTATAAATTATAATAATGTACAGAGAAAAATATATACATGAGGAACCTAAGTTTCTACTTTCTAGCATCTAGGAGTTTATCAATTTGTTCCCTTCCCACAAATGAATAAACATGACCTCTACTCTTTTATGTGTGTGTCTAAAATGATTATGTAATTAATCTGAAGTATTCAGTTAGATCCCACCAATAATAATTTTGGAATGCAATGAAGACTGGTAGTGTTTTATGGTGTTTTACTGGCATTCATCCCTGCATGGTGTCTATTGCTTTATTTGTTCTTATGTTTGGTTTTACCAATTTGAAATGTCTTTGATCACTTGTAGGATTTAGCAATTGATGCAACAGCAACTGTTGGTGTAGAAATTGGCCAGGGATTACGTGAAGTGGATATTAAGAAGTACATTAAGGTTGAGAAGGTTCCTGGTGGGAATTTGGAAGAT